GAAGTCTTCAATCACCATTTTCATCATTCAGGAGAAGTAGCTTTACCTATTAGGGAACAGGAAAAACCTGTTATTTTGCCAGGTTAGATGATTGCAGGCAACATTGCCTTTCAGGTTAGGTTTTTATAGCCTAACATGTAACACTCTAAATAGCCTTTAAAATGGAAAGCTGAAAATGTAAAACTATAATCCAGCTCTAAATGGTCACTTCAGCAGCGATCACGCCAAAGCCCAGGTGGGCTGAATACCATCTGTGAGGTGTTCCTGTTTGGGGGGGGGGGAATTGTACTGAATGCTGAGTGGTACTTCTTTAACATGTCTGCTGTGATGTGAGTGAGATGGAAATACCACATTTCCATCCTTTATACTAAACACGGACACGGGTGACGCTGTGGTCTAAACCACAGAGCCTAGGGCTTGCCGATCAGAAGGTCGGTCCCTGCTCCTGCCCACCTAGCAGTTCGAAAGCACGTCAAAGTGCAAGTAGATAAACAGGTACCACTCCGGCGGGAAGGTAAATGGCATTTCTGTGCACTGCTCTGGGTCACCAGAAGCGGCTTAGTCATGCTGGCTACATGACCTGGAAGCTGTATGCCGGCTCCCTCGGCCAGTAAAGCGAGATGAGTGCCGCAACCCCAGAATCGTTCACGACTGGACTTAACAGTCAGGGGTCCCTTACCTTTATACTAAACACATTCTCCAAGTATGGATCCTCAGTGTTAGCCAAAATGGGACCACACTGGCAAGAGTGAGAAAATCAGCTGGCTTGGGGAACCCACAACTTTTGCAGAAATATAAAAGGAATCTTTAAAGGAAAACGCTGTGCACAGGAAACCACAAAAAGAGACGAGTGAAGACTGAGTATCTCAGTGGGCATGGTATATGCGTTGCTTTTTATGGCGTGAAAGCTGCTATAAATAGATTCGCCCGGCACACTTCCGACCAGGCTTTTAGCAGAGTTGAAATACAGTCCGCAGCGAAGCGTAAGAAAATCAGCCCTGAGTCTTGATTGATGAGCAACACACGATTGTTCTAGGCAGATTACTTTATTGCCTGTCATTAAGCTTAACGGTTGCTATTTACAGACTGCTGTGGATCCCCACAGCAGCAGATCTGCTTGCATCCTCTCAGCAGATCAAAACCAAAACTTTCTCTTAGTCACACACACATAACACACTGTGCATGTCCATGACTTCACTGTCTTATCTTTGCACCTATGGAGAAAGCTAGAGAGTTCCAGAAAGACATCTACTTCTGCTTCATTGACTATGCAAAAGCCTTTGACTGTGTCGACCACAGCAAACTATGGCAAATTCTTAAAGAAATGGGAGTGCCTGATCACCTCATCTGTCTCCTGAGAAATCTCTATGTGGGACAAGAAGCTACAGTTAGAACTGGATATGGAACAACTGATTGGTTCAAAATTGGGAAAGGAGTATGACAAGACTGTATATTGTCTCCCTGCTTATTTAACTTATATGCAGAATTCATCATGCAAAAGGCTGGGCTGGATGAATCCTAGCCGGAATTAAGATTGCCGGAAGAAATATCAACAACCTCAGATATGCAGATGACACAACCTTGATGGCAGAAAGTGAGGAGGAATTAAAGAACCTTTTAATGAGGGTGAAAGAGGAGAGCGCAAAATATGGTTTGAAGCTCAGCAACAAAAAAACGAAGATGATGGTCACTGGTCCAATCACCTCCTGGCAAATAGAAGGGGAAGAAATGGAGGCAGTGAGAGATTTTACTTTCTTGGGCTCCATGATCACTGCAGATGGTGACAGCAGCCATGAAATTAAAAGATGCCTGCTTCTTGGGAGAAAAGCAATGACAAACCTAGACAGCATCTTAAAAAGCAGAGACATCTCCTTGCCAACAAAGGTCCGTATAGTTAAAGCTATGATTTTCCCAGTAATGATGTATGGAAGTGAGAGCTGGACCATAAAGAAGGCTGATCGCCGAAGGATTGATGCTTTTGGATTATGGTGCTGGAGGAGACTCTTAAGACTTGGCCCCGAACACACTGACCAGATGCTTGGAAGCTGGCTGGATGGTTTCTTGGGAGCCGATTGAAACTAAATCCTTCGAAGACAGAGGTCCTATGGCTGGGTCGGGATGGCATGGGGATGAGGGACCAACTCACTTCTCTTGCGGGGGCCCAATTAATGCCATTGCCTTCCGTTAAGAGTTTGGGTGTAATCCCTGATGCCTCCCTTTCCATGGAGACAAAGTTACAGCAACAGCCAAGGCGACATTTTTCCACCTTCGCCGCATCAAGCAGTTGGTCCCTTACCTTTCCCGCCCCAACCTGGCCACAGTGATCCATGCGACGGTCATCTCCAGGCTTGACTACTGTAATTTGCTCTACACGGGGCTGCCCTTGAAGCTGACCCAGAAACTCCAGAGGGTGCAGAATGCTGCAGTGACCCTCACGGGGTCTCTGCCATGGGAGCATATTCACCCAATGCTTTTCAAACTGCACTGGCTCCCATTAGAGTACAGGGTCAGATTTAAGGTGCTGCTTTTGACCTTTAAAGCCCTTCACGGCCTAGGACCCTCGTACCTACGGGACCGCCTCTCCCGGTATGCCCCACGGAGAGCCTCAAGGTCCATAAATAGCAACACTCTAGTGGTCCCGGGTCCTAAGGAAGTTAGATTGGCTTCAACCAGAGCCAGGGCCTTTTCAACTCTGGCTCCGGCCTGGTGGAACGCTCTGCCTGATGAGACCAGGGCCCGGCAGCATCTGACTTCTTTCCGCAGGGCCTGTAAGACACAGTTTTTCCGCCTAGCCTTTGGCTTGGAGCCAATTTGATTCCCTCCCTCTCTTTCCTTTTACCTTTCCTTCTCCTCCTGCGATGAGGCTAAATTTTAATATTTTAATGTTGTATTTTAATTTTTTTTTCAAGTTGTAATCATTCAACTTGTTTTTATTATTGCTTGTAAGCCGCTCTGAGCCTGGCCTTGGCTGGGGAGGGCGGGGTATAAATAAAAATTATTATTATTATTATTATTATTAGTCCCATAGACTGCAAGAAGATCAAACGTATCCATTCTTAAGGAAATCAGCCCTGAGTGCTCACTGGAAGGACAGATCCTGAAGCTGAGGCTCCAATACTTTGGCCACCTTATGAGAAGAGAAGACTCCCTGGAAAAGACCCTGATGTTGGGAAAGAATCATAGAATCATAGAGTTGGAAGAGACCACAAGGGCCATCGAGTCCAACCCCCTGCCAAGCAGGAAACACCATCAGAGCACTCCTGACATATGGTTGTCAAGCCTCTGCTTAAAGACCTCCAAAGAAGGAGACTCCACCACACTCCTTGGCAGCAAATTCCACTGTCGAACAGCTCTTACTGTCAGGAAGTTCTTCCTAATGTTTAGGTGGAATCTTCTTTCTTGTAGTTTGGATCCATTGCTCCGTGTCCGCTTCTCTGGAGCAGCAGAAAACAACCTTTCTCCCTCCTCTATGTGACATCCTTTTATATATTTGAACATGGCTATCATATCACCCCTTAACCTCCTCTTCTCCAGGCTAAACATGCCCAGCTCCCTTAGCCGTTCCTCATAAGGCATCGTTTCCAGGCCTTCCAGACCATTTTGGTTGCCCTCCTCTGGACACGTTCCAGTTTGTCAGTGTCCTTCTTGAACTGTGGTGCCCAGAACTGGACACAGTACTCCAGGTGAGGTCTGACCAGAGCAGAATACAGTGGCACTATTACTTCCCTTGATCTAGATGCTATACTCCTATTGATGCAGCCCAGAATTGCATTGGCTTTTTTAGCTGCCGCGTCACACTGTTGGCTCATGTCAAGTTTGTGGTCAACCAAGACTCCTAGATCCTTTTCACATGTACTGCTCTCAAGCCAGGTGGAGGGCACAAGGAGAAGGGCATGACAGAGGACGTGTTCTTGAAGTTACCAGCATGAGTTTGACCAAACAGTCCTATGCAACTCCAGCAGTGACACACAACATTCTTCTCCCAGGTTTAGCATAGCAGACTAATAAAGTGTAGAAGTGTGTAAAGGCTGCTAGAATGAAATGACTGCCTGGAGTGCATAGCTATAGGATTAGATAGTTAGACTACAATCCTATGCCCACTTGAAAAACATAAGAAGAAGGAGAGCCAATGGCCCATCTAGTCCAGCCACCTGTTCTCAACCAGATGCCCATGGGAAGCCTGAAAGCAGGATCTGAGCATAAAAGCATTCTCCTCACTTGTGATTCCCAACAACTGGCATTCAGAGGCATATGGTCTCTGACAGTGGAGGCAGAACACTGCCATTATCACTAGTAGCCTCTGATAGCCATACCTTCCATTAATTTGTTTATGGCCATTCAAGCTGGTGGCCATCACTGGCTTTTCATAGAATCATGTTGTTGTTTGTTGTTTAGTCATTTAGTCATGTCCAACTCTTTGTGACCCCATGGACCAGAGCACGCCAGGCACTCCTGTCTTCCACTGCCTCCCGCAGTTTGGTCAGGCTCATGTTTGTAGCTTCGAGAACACCGTCCAACCATCTCGTCCTCTGTCGTCCCCTTCTCCTTGTGCCCTCCATCTTTCCCAACATCTGGGTCTTTTCCAGGGAGTCTTCACTTCTCATGAGGTGGCCAAAGTATTGGAGCCTCAGGTTCAGGATCTGTCCTTCCAGTGAGCACTCAGGGCTGATTTCCTTAAGAATGGATGCGTTTGATCTTCTTGCAGTTCATGGGACTCTCAAGAGTCTCCTCCAGCACCATAATTCAAAAGCATCAATTCTTCGGCCATCAGCCTTCTTTATGGTCCAGCTCTCACTTCCATACATCACTACTGGGAAAACCATAGCTTTAACTATACGGACCTATGTTGGCAAGGTGATGTCTCTGCTTTTTAAGATGCTGTCTAGGTTTGTCATTGCTCATAGAATCATAGAATAACTGTATCATAAAATTGTAGAGTTGGAAGGGACCCCAATGATCATCTAGCCCTACCCCCATATTGTAGAAATCCTACCCACAGCCATCCCTGTGTGGGCTCGAATCACCAACCTTCTGGTTTCGAGCCAAACACACTGACCCCTTGTGCCACAGGCTCCCTTGTGGGAACAAATCCCATAATTTAACTATGCAATGTTATGTTTCGTTTGTCCATCTGGAATCTTCCAACATTCAGCTTCATTGGACGGCCACAAGTTCTAGTATCAGAGAAGAAAAACACCTCTCTGTCCACTTTCTGCACACTAAATATAGTCCTATACATCTCTACCATGTTCCTGCTTACTCTCACTTTCCAGGAGGGAAACCCCATTGAGGTTAGTAGGGCTTCCTTTTGTAGGTTGCACCATTAATCACCCTTAAATAAAAACTGTGTAAAGAATGTAACTGTGAAAAAGGGGAGGAGGAAGGCTGTCAAAAACATCCCCACAGTCTGTTTCTATTGTGGTAGAGACACAACAAATCACTGATTACAATAGGAAATTAGTGGGAGGATGGAATTAGAGTCCCTTAAAGAAGAGCTCTTCAGAGGAAAATGGAATAATAAAATCTTTTGGATTACCATAGTTAATAATCCAATTTTCTTCAAGCACTGTGCACAAAGACATGATGTTAAGTGGGAAATGCAACTGATTTTTGAAGAGCATGGTGCAAAAGAATATGGTTTTTTAGTGCGCTATTTAAAAAGTGACTGTGTGCTTGAGTGCTATTCAAGATTTCCAAGTCAAAAAGAAAGAGATAGAACCGGTCACCTCCCCTTGTAGTTATGCTTAATGGGGGAAAAGGAGCGTCACTTTGTTCTAACAATAATTCCATGACATTTGAATGAGTGCCTTCAAGCCTTTCCATAAAGTCTGTTTCTCTGATTAAAGCTTTGTACACTTGGCAGAAGTGTCTAGCCTACTTTCAGAACATTTGGTGGAGAAAGAGAAGGGAAAAGGTGACTGTTCTCAACGAGTGCATGAAATGATATACAGTACAATGTTCATTATAGCCCACTGATGTGTTTCCAGACACTCCTTGCTGTTGAGAGCCAGTGTGGTATAGTGGTTAAGAACGGTGGACTCGTAATCTGGTGAACCGGGTTCGATTCCCCGCTCCTCCACTTGCAGCTGCTGGGTGACCTTGGGCCAGTCACACTTCTCTGAAGTCTCTCAGCCCCACTCACCTCACAGAGTGTTTGTTGTGGGGAAGGAAGGGAAAGGAGAATGTTAGCCGCTTTGAGACTCCTGAAGGGGAGTGAAAGGCGGGATATCAAATCCAAACTCTTCTTCTTCTTCTTCTTCTTCTTCTTCTTCTTCTTCTTCTTCTTCATTCACCAAGCTGACCTTTTTCTAAGCATGTCAGAAGAACTCAGTAGTACTAGAATCATGCTCCCCACTCCATGTAAACATCTCTCTCTGGAAAACTTGAAGCATGGGACTAGCAGCTTTGATTGGGACCGCAGTTCAGAATACAGCAAGCAACGTTTAGAAAAGGCAATAGCAGATCTGATAGGTTAACCCAGGGTTAGCCGCTTTGAGACTCCCAAGGGTAGTGATAAAGTGGGATATCAAATCCAAATCCAAACTCTTGATGACCCGAGTGTTCTCCTGATGTTCATCTTGCCATGAATTGAGCACATGGGTTCTCAGACCCTAAATATGGGATGATCTTTGAAGCAGGGTTGGACAAAACTATCTCTTTCTTGTTCCTATTACTTTTGCATATGTTCATTCAGAAATCCATTTGTAATTTGAGGGAGGTAAATAAAAAAATGTATTTTCTGTTTAATCTTAAAGACATCTGTAGAGAAACAAACTAATTCCATACTGTTTTATTCGTGGTTCCTCATACTGCCACTGCAATATCAAATCTATTGGTTTATAATCTATTGATGCCATTTCTAATGTGAACAGACTATGGTGGACACTGTACTACTATGCCTAACACAGCTCATTAATCCAGCTTTCCAGCTGATCAGATATCTAGTATGCTTTTGCACATAGAAAATTGACTGCATGATAAGGTGGGGGGGGAGACTAACTCAAAACTTGGAAGGCAATATCTGAAGTAAATATGAATGGAGGCATGGCTTTATTCAAAGGACAGCTCAGGAGGCCAGGCCTAGATAGCACAGCTCCTCTTCTCAGTAGAACTTGTCCCTATGAGGCAGTTGTGGGGACTGAAGGTCCTCACCTTCTCACAACTCCCTAAGTCACCTCTACCCCAGGTTCCTTTCCAAGCAATCTGAGTTTCCATCATCTTGTCTGTCTTTGCTCCACCTTCTTCATACCTCTTCAGTTTCTGGGAGACCAGGGGGTTGGTGAGCTGGCTGCAGCAGGAGTGGAAGACAGACTGGCTTCCTCACCAGCCTGACTCAGCACTGCATCTTGCCACCTCCTCTTCTGCCTCCTCTTCTAGCTCTGATTCTGGACTGCTCTCTGACACAGATTCTTCCTGCTCACTAAATCCTGCTTCTTCTTCAGCTTCCAACACCTCCTCCCAATCAGTTCCCTCTTCTCCCTCTGACCACTCATCATGGTTCCATCACCAATCATCTGGCTCTGATCCTTCTTCCCTTGGGGGTTCCCCAGCTGGTGCCTCCCACCATTCCTCTGCATCTCTTGGCCACAGGTTTCAGTGTGCTGAAGCTGTTGATTTCAGTAGACTCAAATTCATGTATGTGTTGAATTGTGGTGATAGTGTTTTCTAGTCCGTATATAGCATTGTGGATTACAGCAAATTATCCTTAATGAAAAACAATTAAGCATCTGATTAGAAAAAAGTTCATTTGGATTGAAACAATCTAGTTCATTTTACATTATGCTGAAACACACACTCATCCTTATCTTCCAAACAGCTCTTAGTAATGGAGTTAAAAAAAAAAAAAGATTAATTATGGGATCCATGCTCATAAATCTTTGCCAAAGAATGATATTTTAATCTTCTAAATCACTCCAGTAATGAAATTATTATCATATCTACATGTGATTTTTGAAGCCAAGCCATATCTTTATAAGTTCTAAGTATAGCTCCTGAAGTTATTACGGCTTATTAAACATCTATATTTCTACAGCAAATGAAAAACCAATGCAGCATCTTAAGCTGAAGTCTTTCTTCAGGCAATACTTCAGTAGCCTTCAAAATTCAATAGGTGTATTGCATACTACAGCTGTCGATAACAGCCTCATGAGACTTTCAAAGTGGTTCAAAATTATATGTATGTTAAGAGGTACTGGAGCACAATAAGTCTCACCATTTCTATTGTCTCTTGGACTATCTGTTGCCAATTGGTTAAAAAGTCTAACAGCTATTCCTATAACCAACTTTTCACTGTGTTCACACACAGCAACCTAAGGGAGCATAGTTCCCATGACTAAAGGAATGTCTGAATGATTTCCATGTGTTATTCACCACTGACATTGAGGGTATATGAAGAAAACATCCCAGATGAGTGTGCGCTTGCAACCTTAGCATTCCCACAAGGTGAGAAATTGTCCTACCTGTCTCATTTTCAAAAGCTGGCAGAAAGGGTAGGTAACCTTGTTGGGACATCTTTGTTGCTTCCATCTGGTTCTGAACTTCTTGCCACACTCTAGAACTCCCGAATCGTGGCTCCTAAGCACTAATTCTACTGCCCAACCTGCACTGTTACTTGCCATAATAAAGACCTCATTCTCACTTACAAGTCTGTGTGTTTGGGTGGGAGCCAGGGCACTAATTCTCTTTCAAAGCCATCCAAGTTAGTGGCCAACTGCAGATGCTATGGGAAGCCTAGAAGCAGCACCCGACTGTGATATCCCCTTTCCCACTTGTGATTCCAAACTTCAGAAGCTTCAGAGCTTCCAGCCGTGGAGGCAGAGCATCATCCTAGGAGTCACTGATAGCTTTATCCTCATGAATTTGTCTTAAAGCCATTGATATTGGTGGCCATCACTGCAGCTTGCAGGTATGAATTCCTTAGCTTAACGGCATGCCGTGTGAAGCAGCTCCTTTTGTCAGCCCTGAATCTCCCAGTATTCTGCTGCATGGGTGCTTCCCTTGTTATTTACTTGGCGATACAGTCAAACATTGGTTTAAAAGCCAAGACGACATTTGAGTAAAAAACAACAACTAGAAAATACTAGCAAAACAGATTTCTCCTACAATATGTCACCAACAGTTCTAAATATACCTTAGCAGCTACGATGTGTGAAACTACAAATTACGCACTACATGATGCCTTGGGGTTTGTTTTCAAACCCTAGAGCCTGTAGTCAAAATATAAAAGACTGACCAAGCATCCAAAACTTTTAATTTCATAATTCATTGAAACTATGAGGAGGAATACTGTTTAATAGAGCTTAAAACATACTATTGGCTGCTAAGGCAAAACATACATAAATGGACAATGGCCTGCATCCAGGGCTGCGATTCCATTTGCAAAACAAATTTATATGTGGAGACGGAACTTTCTCTTCCTCTCTTGTCTCCCCTAGCTTTGCTTTTTCATGTCCAGAGGGCTGGGAAGATCTCTGCAGCAGATTTTGGATGAGCGGAGAGGAAATGAAAATAACTTTGCACAAGTGGAACTCCACTTGATATTGGATTACTTTTTGGATAGTATTTTGCATGGGTTTCCAAGTCTGCAAGCAACTTTCAATGTTTAGTTATTTTATCTAGTTTAGGAAGTGTGCATTTATTTGGATTCTCCATATGACTTTCTTAGATCTGAATCTTCTGTTTCAGCTCATTTAATTTAATTTAATTTAAGATTCTCCAGAGTCTGGTTTAATTTAAAATTATTGAAACCATCTCAAACAATCTTTCAAATGTACTTATGTCAGTTACATTTTCCACTATGGGACCTTAAATATGAACTTTCATGAAAATGCAGTGTAAGAGAAAAAACATATTCATTCCATATATTTATTGAATATTAAGCAATCTAATTTTATGATGCACAACTCTGCAATCACAGTAACAGCAGCACTTGCTCACAGTATTTTTATGATATAGCTGTTTTTCCCCACACATTTTAAAATTATTTAATCCAGCATAAATTTTATGTGCTCTCAGAAGAAATAGGGAAATACGTGTTTAAAGTGATCTGGAATAGCATTTCCAAAACATAAAC